GTCGATGATCTCGCGCCTCAAGCGGACATGGGAGGCTGTGTCCCAGAAGACGAAAACTACTCTCGAGTCTCTTCGTGTAATTGTCGACGTCTCGCGAAACTACGCAATTCTTCGTCAGCGTCTCCAAAACCATGTGCCACCTTGCTTGCCGTTTGTCGGCACCTATTTGACAGACCTGACGTTTGTCGACCACGGCAACCAGCCGCTCCGCTCCCTACCCACGGACGATGGAGAAATGGCCGTGATCAACTTTGATAAACACATGAAGACGGCGAAGATCATCAGCGAATTCCAACGCTTCCAGATTCCATACCGTCTTACGGAAGTGCCCGAATTGCAGGCATGGATGCAAAACGAGCTGGTTCGGGTTCGTTCCAACGGTGAAAAGAGTTTACAGACGTTCTATCGCCGGTCGCTCATCCTCGAGCCCCGTGAGGCGCCTCAGCAGCAGCGTACATTGCAGACGGAGTCCAGCTCCTCCTCGATCCTAGAGAATGCCAAGGACAAATTCGAATTCCTGTCGTGGACGCACCCCTCGAAAACCAAGTCGGTAGCGACAAATGGCTGATTCAGGACAACCTGAACCGGTCGGGACGGCCAGTTACGATTTACGAATCATTTTCAATTCATGCCGACACGGACTTAGCGCTATACTCCCTTTTATTCTTCACATTTTCGATATTGTCATTATCCTCGCACATTTTATTGTGGATACCTCATGATTCCATATTGTCAACACTTCGGAGCTGCCCCTGTGATTCACCTATCAACCAGGAGGGGTGAGGGGATTCCCCTACTAAAAAGAGACAATGCAGTATATCACACAGTGCAATCCTTTCCTGTACAGGGATGGCACATACAAAACAACAATACCCATTTCATTCGGACCTTTTTATACAAGCTACCTCGCGGTTTAGACGAAGTGAACATTTCCTCGACTGACTACTTTCTTTTCATCACGTTTGATTCGCTGCAATGGTACTTCACTGGACATGCCAATCTCATGAATTTGTTTCGTCATTGGCTGGATCGGAGCACTGCAGCCTCCCTGGTAATGACAGGACTGTGTTATTATCGGTGCCACTTACTTTATATTTTTCTTGTTTTGGTTCCTCATTCTCTGCCTTATATTTACGGATTGGCTCAGCATCCGGTCTCGGTCGCATTGCATTGGAAATGTACGGTTCTAATCAGGTGTGGATTATGGATACTGGAATTGGGCATTCGCATGGAAAAACTTTGGGTACTTACTTATTGGGATGGATTTGGGATTTTCTGGGCCGGTCTGGCTGGCACATGGGAGGACGAACTGTATCATCTTATCCTGTACATATTTGGGGGCTTACGGCTAATGCAACCTGGTCCCGTGCTAATGAACAATCACTTGTGATCATAACCGATTATTTTTCTTTTCCTCCGGCGGAGAATGTGGGTTGTGTGTATAGAGCTATGGGTATTTAGTCGGTTCCTTCCACCAAAGGAATTGTCGGTATTATCCGAGACCCCGCCACCTTTGATACGCCTCGGCAAACCCGCCACCGTTGGAAGCCTCATTGCAAGCATATTCGTCCGTTTGACCCCAGACCAGGTCGAAACCCAGGCCACGGGGAGCGGACGCATCAATGTCCAAGATGGGGATCATGGATGGTCGTCCATGCGCGCACTGGAATGGAAACGTACAGCCTGCCAATCGGGACACCAGGCCCTGGCACTCCTCTACGGTCAAAACGTCGTTGAACATGATTGCCGTGCGGCAAGCCCGCGAGTTCAGCAGATCGATGATCCCCCGGGGACAAGTGTCCAGCCGGCCGAACCAGCTGCTGTCGCTGGCGGTCGTAGCGCCATGGTGAGTGTCTTGCCGAGTACTAGGCCGGGATTCACCCCGACTCCAGCCCGTGGGAAGACCCCAGCCACCACTCTCCTCCCGGTGCCAGATTTCCCCACGGACCAGTTGTGTGACTAGCTCCGGTTCCGCGCGACACCTCTCGGCAATGAGCGCGGGAAGTGCATGCACGAAGACGAATGCCTTCGTATCTCGGGGTCTTTGTTCGATCGAGTACTCAACGCCCCAGTTACTGTAGAATTGTCGGTATCTTTTGAACACCGAGGTCTGCGACGCGGGGATTTCAATCACGATCGCACTGTCGAGTCGAACGGATGGAGGGGTGTCGGTCGGCGCGGTTGGGAGGAAGGATGCCAGAAGAGCCTCGACGCGACAGCGCTCATCAGCAGCATGTTGATCGATTAAAACTAGGGTTTTATTTGGGTTGGATACAGAGGGACCAATCGCGGCAAGGATGAACTTCCTGTCGACCTGGGCAATAATTTGGGACTTCTTGAGGTCGTGTTTCCGAAGTTTACCACGATACTTAGCCACCCCAAGGGTGTCTGGACGAAAGAGATTGCTGGGAGTGGCTGTTCGATGACTCGTATTTATATCGAAGATGTCGATGGCCTTTTCGGGCCGGCCGAAAACCGGGGGTTTCCAATCGTCCAAAAGGTTCTCGACCCATGCATTTCGGGCGGGTTGTATGGCAGCCGACTTGAGCCGGTCTTGGTCTTCCAGACCCCGCTTCGTCCATAGAGACCCGGTGGATCGGGGCCTCAGGGAAATGGCTGAAGAGCCAGCGCCAATGGATTGGCCGGTTCGGGAATTAATCATGTGGCTTCGACCCGTATAAGGGTCAATCCAGGAGGCAATCGGATCAAAATGTCCGTCGGGTGAGTTGGTCTCACCGAAAGCCTCATCGTGGCTTCGTTTTTCGGGGCTTTGTACAATAATCGTGTCATTAGGAACTGGTTCAAATGGCATTGCTGGCTTTTGCAAATAATTTCGATGAAGAGGGGCGTTCGGCTTAAGGACTCGCGTAGTTGCACTAAGATCTTTCGAAATGATGCTGGCACTCTTTACTCTGGTCCAGTTTCCGAACTGGTGACTGACGGTCATCGGTCGCCGAAGATCACGTAGCTTTATATGACGGTTCAAAGGTTCTTCGGTGCTATAAGCTGTATTTGAGCATTGAGCTTCATGACCTGAGGTCCTCGAGCTCTTCTTCGGCGACACCTTTCTCTTCTTTCTTGCACGCGGCCGTAGACCCTGTTGATCAAGGAACTCGATAAGCATGGCTCCAAGGACGTCTAAGATGCGCTGGACATATTGAACTGCCTCGGGAGCACCTTCGGCATCGCAGTCGAGACTGTTGCACTCCTCAGAGGTGATCCGTATGTAGAACATGGGCCACCTGGTGCACTCCTTGGTAGGAGCCTTCGCCAGTGTCTCATAACCACTCCTGAGGACCTCATCTTTGGCTCGTAGAGGCGCTGGAAATTTGGCATTATCAAAGTCGGACAAGGCAAATAAACGATTAATCTCGGTATAGAAGATATTCGCACTGCTTTGTGGTAGCACGGGAATTACTCCCAAAGAAAGAAACTGGACCTTCTTCGTGGTGCTAGGAATACGCGATATAGCGGCCTGGATATGAAAGCCAGGTACACTGGCCGACACGACATCCCAGTGCTCATTATTTCGAGCTTCCACCAGACCAGCCTGGAACAGAATAGTGTTGATGCGCTGAAGATCCAACGCTGATTCTGCCTCGTGGTTTAGAGTCTTCGGGCATAAAGAGAGCTTCTTCTCTCCACTAGCGTCCATGACCACAAGTTTAATTAGTTGATTGTTTGCTAGCATCAGAGGCACAAGTAGCTGCCTGAGGTCATCCCATTGTCTCTCCACCTCTTCAGACTTCTGCAGAGCTAATGCACGACTCTTTACTCGTACTGGCAGGTTGCCAAACAAATCGTTCACTGTTATACTGGTGCCGTGATTGCTGAATCTAAGTCCCTGATAACTCGGGGCTGGAGTCAGTCGAACGACTGGGGTCGCATGGTGGAATACAATAGTATTTGTGCTTGTATGCCGAAAATGGCGGGATGTTATGGTCAACATTGACAGAGCCGAAAGTGAGGCTAAGAATGAGCCTCGGTGACCGTAGACATCTCGCTCTGGGCCAAGCCGGGAGGTATCTGTGCTTGAGGTAAGCATCAAGGCTTCAAGAACGACGGCCTAACGTACGGTGGGCTTTGCCTAAACCACCACTTGGATGAAATTCCAATGGTGGTATGCCGTCTCCATCGTCCTCCACTATGCAGCCTCCGCGCAGAGCATCGACCGTGATATACACTGTTCGAGCATTTGCATCCAAGGCATTCTTGACCAAGTCCAGGATCACCCCCTTAAGAGTTGTAATCGCCGTCGACGATTTCAATTTGGCCACTGCAGATGGTGGCAAGGGTTGGATTCTCGGGTCATCGGAATTCATCGCGGCGAGTAGGTAAGTAATCAACCAGCATGTTTCCCGGGTCACATAGCTAGTCGCGCTTGCTTGGAGCAGCGAGGCCTTTCTAGAGGATACCGAGCACTCATCTGGGAAGCGAAGATGTAGAGAAACACTGAGCCCATGGTGTCTTCGGAGAAGGAAGCGGCGGCAGGATGATGTGATATCGCCTATCAAGCACGTGGTGATAACGGTCGATAAGCCTAGTACTGAGTAAGTTAGTACTAACTAGTACACACTCCGAGTGTCTTCTTTGGGCCGACGGCCAGTATCACGTGCCCGGCCTGAGGAACTCCTGACTTGCCTTCATCAACAATGAATGCTCGGTTGAACTTCTCTATTGCTACGTCTTCTTGATCAGCGATTTCTTGTCATATTCATTCAAAGCGCCTTCACTTGATCGGGGCGTTCCGCCTACGATCGCTCCGCCTTTCCCACTTCCAGCTCATCCAATACATCGCCCTTCCCTCTTCCACCCCCTCCATCCCCCTCCCGGGCTCAATCACTAGGTAGTTCTGCGGCGTCCCTTTGATCGATCGATTACCAACAACTCCGTCTCAAATTCTCTTTAACGGCTCAAAACAGCCCCTCGATAGTCTCGGTACCTTTCTGTACGACGACCTTTGAAAAGAAATCCAATCTATCCTCTGGGAGGCTCGAACCATGGCCACAACAGAGGGACCCGCCAGGGCGCATGGTGCGCAAAGCAATTCCCCAGTGTTCTGTTTCTCCTCCAACTGTCTAACTCATGATTCTGGGAAAGATCGCAATGGACGCCGTCATCCCTTCTCCAGTTGGATGAAGCGGCTTGCTAGTTTAAAACATTCGACCGATTCAGGTTCCAACCGTTGGTCTCACAAACGCCATGCGACGCCGAAACACAAGAACCGCAATTCGAAGAATAACCCCTACCCACTTTCTGGAAATAACACCGCTGCCAATCCCTGTGGTGACAACATCAGCGATGCTACTGCATCGGATTTCAGCGCCGAAACTGACGGGCAATCCGGCTCTGGAAGCGAGCCCTCTATCACATACTCCTGTTACGAGCACCAGGTTCCCGCCACCAGTGCTAAATCTACGGCACCCACCATCTCCACAAACGGTGACACAGCCATATCGGACGCAGCTTATTCGAAGGCAGGTACAATGGTCACGGCCGGAGGAGGGATCAGTTCACACGGTGGGGGCGAAGGAAGCACCTTTTCATCCCCAGCGCCATCCGTCCGGTCTCTAACAACCACCTTGACCACGGTTCAATCGGCAGCACCATCGGGCCACCTCTACAATCCGCAGAATCACCACCATGGTCTTGCTCACACCAACTCCTTGCAGAATCATGCGACGCAGCAGGTTCAATTTTCTCATCAATTTCCCTCGTCGCCGGCCACGGCGGTCCCGCCCCACCTTACTCCTCACGGTCACTCGGTTACTTACAGCTCCGCGACGGCGAACAATCTTCTCACCGACAATGCATCCATACTTACACTGGCGTCTTCCTCCAAGCGACGGCGTCGTAACTCCTTAGATACCAATGCCTCGGTGCGCGCCTTGGCCCCGTCCTCAGTCTTTGGTGGTAGTCGGGAGAGTCTGCCTCTGAGTGTTCTCAGCGGTACTATTGGAGAGCAGCCTTCCAATACCTCCTCGCTCAATGCTCCAGGCGTTCTTAATCGTCCTAGCTTGGTCGGTCTTGCCAGCGTAGAGCGCGCCAGCGTCTACTCAGCCTCAAGCGCTACCCCGTTGGCTGGTGAGCGCGGCAATTTTCACAAGGCCGCCACCACGGCCGGGGATGCCGCGAGCACTATGAGTGTGTCTCATTCGCATAGCCGTCACGATAGTAACGCAGCCAGCGTGACCGGCGCTGGCCCCGGGAATGCGTGGTCAGGGCCATCCCAACAGCAGCAAGCGGCCGTAACGGGGCGCATCAGCCGTCGCAGCTCAGGATGGGGCGAAATCAACGGCGACGAAAGCGACGAAGAGAAGCTTCCCGAACGGAAAGCAGGTGAAAGTGAGGAGGCTATGGCAGAGTCCACAATCAGAAAGTCAAGGCAGCAGCTTGATGGGTTGCTGCTTGAGAAATAGCACACTTTCTCTCGCATTTCCATGACATGGCCATGGTTCTCTGACCGCTATTTACCTCACATGCCTTTCCTTTTATCTTCCGCTCACCAGGTTATCGCAACGAAGTTACGCAACGCCAGATAAGAGACTCCATGACAGTGACATATTGATTCCCACGGCTTCGCTACATTCTATTTCCAGTTTATCGTTTTCTTTTTTTTTTGCTCTTGCCCGTGCCAACCATTTCTTTGATTGCAGCCCCACCACATAATGTCTCATATGCGAAGGGGAAAGGAGCGGCGGGGCTATTGTCTTCCCTTCGAGGTGTTCGGGAGTTATAGCTTGGGGTTCGCCGACAACCTTTCATTTACTTGTGTTTCTTTCATTCTTCAAGCGGCGCTTCGGGTTATGGGAGGAGTTTTAGACTGGTATGGGGGGTTCATCGCTGTTTTCCGTTGAGACATGTAAAGAATGAACTCATGCCTCTTCGTGGATCGGTGTATATCATTCGATCCATAATTACACCCCACACATACACCCAATCTTTACACGTAGATCGGCCGAAAGGAAGAGAGAACCGTCCTCCCCCCTGCGGCATGGTCGTTAATCCGGTCTCAAAAACATGGGCCAGTGGCTAGTGAATCTTGATAGGCAGGGTACTTCTGAAAGGTGAACTGAGATAACATTGCTTTGGTATCATTCATTATCATATACTTTTATAAAAGGGGACAAATCACAATGAGCTAAGCCAGCTGGGATTCTGTACTGCAGGTGTCTGCCCTTAACAACTGAAATAGCACGTTGACCTTCCCACCGCCCGAGCAAACCACCTCCATCATAAACAGGCTCCGCGTACGCCGAACACTTTCCACACACGCACACCAACCAATATTAACATAGAGCATGGCAAGAAGAAGGACACGAGCAGGGGGACGAGCGTGACGGGAGGTCCCTTGCATGGATGTGAACATCTACAGGAAGAGAAGTGGGGAAGGGCGAAGAACTCAGGATAAGACTAGGCATGCTCGCACGCAAATGGAAGAGTAAACAAGAGAATCAATACTAGGCAGTGCCTACGCCGATCTTGGAGTCAGAACTACTCCGTTCGCTGTCCTTCTGCTGTGAGGCGAGGAACTTCTGAAACATGATGGCAATATCGTTCTCCGACTTTTTGGCCTCTTCTGAGGTCTGCCCGTTCTTCTCTGTGATGAGGTTCTTCAGCCACTGGTTCTCCAACTCCAGGGCTGTGACGCGAGCCTCCAATGCGGTGTTCTTTTCCGTGGTCTCCTTGACGGTCTTCTCGAGAGCTTGCTCGCGCATCTTCTTCTTCACACGGAAGCGGGCGCTGGCGGCGGTGTTGCGCCGGCGCTTGTCTTCCTCCGCCGCGATGCGGGCGACCTCTTCGACGCTCATAGGTGGGACCTTCTGGGTGTTCTTACGCTTCGGCGCGGTGGCAGACGTGGAGGAAGTGGTAGCAGGAGGTACAGCGGTAGCAGCGGGAGGGGACATCGATGACGATGACTGCGGAGAATGTTGCGAAGACGCCTGACTCGGAGCCGGGTTCACATTGTAGGGTGCATTCGGCAAGGGCGGCAGAGCGGAGAACTGTGGGTTGCGAGGTGGTGGCACAGCTTGAGTGTTGACCGCATTCACATTGGAGGATGGAATGTCGTTGACATTGCCGAAGCCTTTGAAGCAGAAATCAGTGATAAGTCCAGGGACAGTTGTAACTATCAGCCTCGCAAGACAGAAACGCAGAAGGGAAGAAGAGCAGCATTGGGTCCAGACAAATCGCCAAGACGGCTCCGAGTTGAGAGGCCAAGGCAACCCTCAAATGCAGCCTCCCATGCGGTGTCACGTGGTATTGCGCAATTGGAGGTGCGGCTCGCGCTATGAATCCCATAGGCAAGACTACTGCACGTTTTGCGATCGTCGCACAGACGATGGGATCTCATGCAGGTGGCGAGCCAATCAGGAAAAGTGCAAATGGTGTGCTTAATCTAGGCAGAGCAGCTGGTATAAAACCTGTGCTCGTGGTATGATCCTAGAGGGGCAAAAAATGTTTCTGAAGGAGGGCAGGGAAAATGGGACGCAGAGCATGAGAATGAGCTAGCGCGGGCAGAGACAACGACATCCACGGATGATGAGTTGGCTCAATGCTCAGGCTTCTGAAAGGTAATGCAAAGTGACTCTTTCCAAAAGGCCAGTTTGATAGGATATTCAGTCGCATCATGTCCCACTCCAGGATGAAAACGAGGCGGCAAGAAACAACGATTCCCTACTCACCTCCCAGAAGATTCAAGAAATCCATGTCGGAGTTGGCATCCTGCGCGGTCTCCCTCTTCACTGTAGTCTTATCCACCGAATCAAAAGCAGGCAGGTTGATGTCGCCAAAGTGGTCGAAGTCAAAAAACTCGGTGTTGGTAAACAACGAAAGATCGGCATCGAAGTTGTAGGATTCTTGCTGTTGCTGCTGCATAGCCTGGTCATATGGCGAAGGGATGGCATTCAGATCTTCCAGGTACTGGGAAAAGTTCGGGGCCCGACGGCCGTTGAATTCAGACATGGTGTTGGATTGAGGCGGGCCGTGGCCTCTGTGCGTCTCGAATTTACCAGGCGGCGAAAGCAATGGAGGTCATTCAAGACGACAATACCGACTTCGTTTTATGGCTGAGCCATGCAATAGATTGAACTCGTGGATTATCCGACGTGGATAGATATAGACCGGAGACGATATGATAGTGGAAAGCCAGGTCCGAGGAAGTGAGATGGGGCTCACGAGCGCTTGATTGAGTCGACGGCGTTTGGCGATGATCGATAGAGATTGATTGTCGGGAGTCGGGTTGTCGATGAGTTGGGTGGATGGAGTCTGGGGAAGAGAGAAAGAATAGAATAGAAGAGGGTGAAAGAGCGAAATGGGCGGGCGGGCGGAGGAGGGTCAGTGGAGGGTTCGGGTTGAATTCATTCCAATGTGGGACGCGCGGGAGGCCGAAAAAGGGCACTGGCCACTGGCCACTGGGTAAATTCAATGATTACAGCGGGGTGGGGGGTATGAGTGGGTGGTTTGATTATTAAGACTCGTGGGAAACTCCCGTAGGTAGGTAACTTACGGAGTACTGTAAGACTAAGTTACTAGTACCTACTCGTACTCCGAGTACTTATCAGTAGGAATCAGTCAGTTGCCCGCGGTCAACGACTAATACAAGTGACTAACAGACTTTCTTTCAGCCTTCCATTCAGTCTTGTCTTTTGTTCTCTTCGTTCTCTTCGTTCTCTTCGTTCTCTTCGTTCTCTTCTTCAGAACTTCTGCATCATCTTGTAGACTCAATGTAATCATTAAGCAACTAACTACTAACTACTCAGTATACTGAGTATGGAGTATGCCTGGCTACGCAAGTCCTTGAATTCCTCCTCTTTCCTGCCTTGCTTGCGTCGCTCTCGCCACAGCGCCGCCCGCCCTTCCGGATCATGACATCGAAGCCGAGTCATCCTCGTTTCAGTGGCCGACGCCGAGATCGGCTTGCTTTTTTGGGGTTGGGGTTGTGGTAGGTTCCAGTTTCCACGAGCCCTGCCCGGTTTTGAGTTCCAACTTCAAAGGCCTTCGGTAGATTATTATTAATCACTCTTCTCCCTCTTCTCCCTCAATGAAGTCAGTTTGTCGACACGCCGGCGGGCAGACCCGAGGCTTTTTCCCTTTTGTTTTTTTTTTTGCTTAGGGTTGCAGTGCAGAAGGTCTTGGGAAGTGAGTTCAGCCAACCAATCGACTTCAGTACACCCAGACGGCGTCTGCCACAGTGCTTATGGTTGGCCCAAGCTGAACGCTTATAGTCGAAGTGGTCTAGTATCGCTAATGAGGTATCTACAAAGTAGACTAGACTACTAAGTACTCATAAACGCAGAGGAAATCTTTCCTTCTACGTCCGTTTGCTGCTCCACTTTTCCCCTCGTATGCCTTCTCAAAGAAGTATTCCCATCCGCCCGTTGAGTCTGTTTTAGCCCGTAGCGCAGTTATTTCGGTCCGAAGAGTCCCTTAGGTGTAAGTAAGAGACGTAGTTCGTACTGTACTTGGTAGCCTTGCCCTAAGTCCAAACAACTTTCACACACCACTGTCTTCCATCCAGCTGACAGTGATTCACGAGGGAATTCAGGATTTATAATCACCCTAAACAGTTGGTGAACTTTCTTTGTCCCACTCGTTCATGCCAAAAACAGTAAGGGCAACGGCGATATTATAAGACCGACTGTAAGTCCGGTCTCTTATCGCCACGTGACTCTCGTTTGTTGATGCCCCAGGAATCCCAAAACTTGGTCGCGTTCGCATCACGACTTTCGGGCCCCCGACCAGCATAGAGCCAAGGTACTTTGGGGCTCGTCATTTACAACGCCTACATTGTGCGACCTTGTCATGTATACCGAACTCGGTTCTTAATACTACATTCAGTCGCCAGTCACAATGGCGCGGTCCAAATCAATCCGTGCTCCCACTACTGCCAGTCTTCCTAGCAACCTTCGCATACCTTCTTCCACCCCATCGCTGGTCAAGACGTTTGGCAAGCTTACTCGCCAGGCTTTACTTGACCTTGTCTTCCAGTGGCTTGAGGATGGCAATGTCCAGCACTTTCCGCCATATCTCCAAGCCAACGAAGGCGGCAAACGGGAAGAAGAGGGTGATGACGACGGACTCCGTCCCTATCCCGCTGAGCGGACTATCAACGGGGTTCGCAACGCCTACCAGGAGCTGCAGTTTCGGAAGGGGGGGAAACGCGAAGTCATAGATCGGATTCTTGAAGGCGACTGGCGACATGGCATCACACTTCGTCAGCTGGCAATGGTCGACCTGCGCTACATGGACGACCATCCGTCAGGTCTGCGCTGGACAGCTTTAGAACTTGCTCGCATCGACAACCCGTCCTCGAACGAATCCTCCGCGTGCATACCGCGTGTTCACGCATCGACTTTCCTAAGCAGTCTTCAGCAACAGATCTCTCCCCTAGTGAAAGCCCACTACCATCTTGCCCGGTCGACCTCTCTTCCCCTCACCGTGCTCCGTGTCTTCGTCACCGCCTCGCCTTACCAAACTGCCCCTCGTCAGAGTGCCGAATCTCTCACCGACTCGTCTAGAACCATCTATGTCGCTTTCCCAGACAGTTGCCCATTCTTTTACACATCCATGGCTTCTCCCCAGACAGCCTCCAAGGCTAGTTCCGCTCTCCCGAACTCCCTCGTCGCAACAGACGTTCGCAGCCTCCAGCGCCTGGTCCGAGATGCTATTCCTAAAGCCCTCTCTCTCCCCCATCAACGATATACCGTCAAGCCCACCTCCTTAACAGCAAAGAGTCTCGAGGCCCTGCTCGCCCTTCGGGGCCCCGGTCGATCCAACCAAGCCAACGGCGCATTCAGTATCTTCGCAGACGCCGCCTTGGAAGGGAGCCCCTTGGACCCACGGCCATCCAACACCGTCTCTCCGGAGGAGCATAACCGCCAATTAGGGTCGGTTCGCTCCAGGGATTCGGCCGGGAAAGAGAACACGGCGACTGACGCAAAGGAAGCCACCCTTGAAACCAGAAGGGCCTCTAAGCGATCTCTCGCTGACTCCAAGGAACCCGGTACCTCCAAGAAGCGGACTCTGGCCCTGCAGTCCCGTTTCGGCACTTCGGGTACCTTGTCTTCTGCGCCGCTTGATCGACTGGATGTTAGGCTACTCGATGCCTTACCAGGTGATGCAAAGCCAACAGAGCACGCTCAACAACCAACAGTCTCGCTGGCGTTCGCCGGTACGGATGTGATTGGTGGGATTCGAAAGCTTGTGGAGTTGGGTGTTATTGACGCGGAGAGGATGCCTTGCTGGATGACGGGTGAGGAAGGGGTCAGTGTCCTTGCGGTGAGAGAGGGGAGGAGAGTGAGTAAAGCCGGTAGATGAAATCCTCTGGCACGGGCTTTTTTATTTTTCGGCTAATACGGTACTGTTAATGCTTCGTGAGACGTTGAAGCCGATGCAGGCCACCTACTCAAGCACATGGAGCCTCAACATCAGGTGTGCAAGTATGGGCTACCCCCATTCCCCCCTCCGCCATGTCATCGGGGCACCATCATTACCACTGAGAGGGGAAACATGGTGGGACATCTATCGAAACAAGCAACGTAGAATCAAGTTCGACGTTCCTGTGCCATCAGCATAGGTGAAGTCGATCAATTCGCCTTAGAATGGCGGCGCCCTTTCTGACAGCACTGGAAATCAAATCTCTCTTAGTCATCTCCGGGCGTGTCAAACCCGGCTAGGTCATTACCCTTCAGTCCTTCAAGTTCAGTTGGATCTAAATAGGTCGCTGGAAGGTTTGATGAGGATAATCGATAAGGTCTAACTCATCAAATGATGCAGAACCTGGGCGGATCAAATAATTTTCAACAGCACATGTGTGTCAGAATGAAGAATACCTCATATTCATTAAGCATAATGATAACAATGGCCATGGAAATGACCGGATGAGAGTTGGGATTCAGCCCATTCCAGCCAGATAGCCTGAGACTAGCATGCAACAGCTGACTCCCAAAATCCTCCCCGCTAACCGAAAGCAAATTGTTTATTGCAGAATTATGACCGTGCCAGACGGCAGAAGAAGTGAAGAACACGCCTTGAAGCCAGCGTACAATAGACTCAGCTCTTGCCATGACCTCATCAATAGTCATCGTAATCCCAGTCGTCCTCGTGCTGGTGCTGCTGTCGGCGCACCCAGAAAGGATGGTAGCTCGAAACGTCTAATCAGAGTCAGTCTGTCAGTATTGGTTACTCTTCGCATATATGCGAAGTAACGACAAATGGCGTTTCTGAATGAGAGCTTCGTACCGCGACGGCCTGAGAGACCAAAGTGCTGTGCCACATTGACATATCCATCCCGACTGAATTTGCCTTGGCGGGAGAGGTCCTCCACATTCACATTTTCGGTATCCGGCTGCCAGGGTGAACGACTTAATTGGGTTAATAACATATAGTAAAGATCTAGATGGCAGGGAACACACCAATAGACACATCTGACACCCTGTGCCTGCTGGGTGGCAGCCCATTGCTGAAAGCAAGCCTTGTGAATGTTGTTCCCGCATGCAGCTCGACACCACACAATGTCCTCTCTTTGGGGCTCGAATTCCATGAAGCATATTGGACAGTCTCCCTCGATCGGTTTTCTGTTGCCAGCGTTGTCCTCTGTGGATTGCTCTTTGCTGAGCGGGGAACCGTTGTATATCGCCCGCAGTTCCTGCAAGACGGGTGAGCAAATCCTCCAGGCACAGGAGACGATGTTCGTGCTGCCACTTACCGATGATAGAAATGCCAGCTGGTACTGAAGATCCGCCGGCGCTTTGAGGGCGTTGATCAACACTTGAACAGCCATGATTGTTAGGACCATAGAATAACAATGAGTGATAAGTGATAGCGACATAATGATAGGATTTGAGGCATTGTCAAGAGAAACAAAACGCTTACCATAACAGATATGCTTGCATTGATTACCCTTGCGTGCATCTGGACAGTCGCAGGTTGGCACCTTCCCAATAGTGGTTTTGTAGATGTTGCCAGTGGTCCCGACAATGTCGAAGCTCATATTCAGAAATCCGTCTACGAGATTGACGGTATGCCCAACAATAAACATGCTTGAGACAGTTAGCTTCAATATTCCGAGTAATTCTGAGTCCAAAGATCTCACCGTTGACTCATTGCACGTGCAGCCCTCTCTTTGAAGGATACCGGGGCATGGGGCCTGAATCTACGCTCTCGACGCTCTTCACTGGGCGCTTGCGCCCTGGGCTTTTTTCCCGGCCGAGTGGAGGACTGCTCGGTACGACCAACATCCCTGAGTTTGGTTGAATTGGTGGTGTCAGAAACAGCCTTTCGCAACCTTTTGGTGGTGGTAGTGGTCGTCGTCGTCGTCGTTGTTATTGTTTCCTCCTCATCAGCAGATCGCTTCCTTTTCGAGACCGCGGATGTGCTTGTTGTTGCCTTTGCACGCTGCTTTCGAGCCCCACCCCGTGAGGTTCTGACAGTCTGCAAGCGAGCAGTTGCATTTGAGGTTGCACCCATCGTAAGGAGGAGGAAGTTGGCTCTAGTGATCTTGAAGGGCTTGGACTTCAAATGGAAGGTCGCTTTCACAAGATCGCAGTGGCGACGGATAGCGACCAACATGGAAGAGATAAGTGACCGATAAGCGATTAATTCCGCCGCATGACACAAGTACTGCAATATCCTCACAAGTTTCGGGTCTGAGATGCGCAGTCAGCAAGCTTGCAGCTTGAGTGAGATAGCAGTCAATGGCCAATTGTCACATTTCAGAACCTATCCGGTGCCACTTGCTTTTGGTGACGAGAGAGGTGAAGACGGATCATATGGATTCAGCCTATAGAAGATGAGGCTCGCGATCTACACAAGGCCCCGAGGCGGTGAGCCGACCGACTAATCAAGAGAGCGGCAGCCTCCGTCATTTGGCAGTTGTTGCGGTACTAACCTCATTGACACTGCTTTTTGTCAGTGTCGTTGTGAGGTTGTTTAGAAGCTACTATTATTGATTTGGCTCTAATTAGATACTATTTTCTGAGATCTTGTGTATTAGGGCTTAGTAATTGCTAACGACACCGGCAGTATTTTCCACATCACTGGCACTAGACCTTTTCACAAGTGGAAAGCTACGGAGACGCCGAATCAAGACATTCTACGGGGACATTTGTACTCCGCAAAATCGTATGGAGTAAGTATAGTAAGCGCTTCACCGCCCTCAGCGCCGCCCTTGTATGGGGTTCTAAAATGACGTTCATCCAAGCTACTGTTACCTTACCTCCCACGACAAAAGACAGAACTCTTCAGAAGCTAAAATGGCACGCTCTCGTGCTCTTTCGGGCGCAGATGGCCCTAAAGAGCCCCATGCAATTTCACTCAAAGGTATGGATGGCATTGCCGGGGTTCTCTTCCCCCTTGACAAAGCACTTGGCTGATTGATTGATGAATGATCGTTCAGTCTTGCGGTAAGCGATTGCATTCCTGTTGAAATACTACACCTATCAGCGACAACTTCATCGCGCACTTCTCTCCTGACAATACCCACAAGGCTGTCTCGCCCTTCTCTATCCTACCAGTATCCCTTACCGGCGGCAAATACGAAGATCTCGAGCAAAGCATCACTGAGCTACCCCGCCGATCACACGGACGGTCAATTCATCCTCACTCCCAATGTAAATCGATGCAGTCATGGTCTGATGTTCGGCTACTGACACGAAACTTACAAGCTGACTCTACCTCCTGCCTTCGGATCTGCATACGTCGGCGAGACATTTGCATGCACGCTCAGTGCAAACAATGAGCTGTCTGCAGATGAGGCGTCACGTGTTGTCACCTCTGTCCGAATTGTCGCTGAAATGCAAACACCCTCTCAGGTAGCGGCGTTGGATCTCGAGCCTGCGGAAGATACATCTCAAAAGGACGGGTTGCAGAAGGGCCAATCTTTGCAGAAAATTGTACGGTTTGATCTCAAGGAGGAGGGCAATCACATACTAGCGGTCAGTGTGAGCTACACGGAGACGTCGATAGGCTCGGATGCCCAGGCAGCAAGCGGCAGAGTCCGGACCTTCCGCAAACTTTATCAGTTTGTCGCTCAGCCCTGTCTGAGTGTACGGACCAAAGCTTCCGAACTGGCGCCCCTTGAAGTCGAAAACAAGAGTTTGGGTCCGTACGGGAAGACGCGCTTGCTCCGCTTCGCGCTAGAGGCCCAACTAGAAAATGTGGGCGATGGCCCGGTCGTGGTCAAGGTAGGTTGCAGATCGTGGGGACTTTCCTTTTGAAATCTCAGTAGCATGGCCGAGATCCTCGCTGCACGCATACTAATTTTTGGCAGCAAACACGACTCAACCCCAAGCCACCATTCAAGTCCATATCCTTGAACTGGGACTTGGAAGGAACCGATTTGACAGATTCCCAGCCGCCGACTTTACATCCACGCGATGTCCTGCAGGCCGCTTTCCTGGTTGAACAAGAGGAAGGGCAGCAGGAAGGTCTCGAGGCCCTACAGAAGGACATGAGACGCGATGGGCGGGCTGCTCTAGGCCAATTATCTATCGAGTGGCGAGGTGCGATGGGAGATAAGGGATTTTTGACCACAGGAAACCTCATGACGAGGCGACGGGCGTGAGCTCAAAGCAAAGGGGGGAAAATGACGCGTTTCTGAATCCTAGAGGATAGCTAGCTTACGAGTAGTGTTCTATCTCTGTACAACGGCCTATCTATGTTTAGCGGTCTGTCACCATGCGAAACATCGCAGCGAAGAGACGCCTGCAAGCGCGCCAGTTGCGAGTGCTTTTCTGCCGGTGCATATTTCGAAACAGAGGAACCGAACAACTCAGCAGTGACGCACCATGCTGTGCGACCGATCAGGGAGGCCAATGGGTATGGCGTCGACTGCCGGGGGGTAATCGATCAGAACCCCAGTCGCGATGGGTTAGCGACGACAACAATCCGGAACCTTGGGCTGGTTACACTCAAGCGTGCGTGTGCAAAAGCAGGAATTTCCGTCGACTGCCTGCAGTGGTGGTGGAGTGGTGAGGCCTGTCCGTCTCTTTTTGAGTTGGCGAGTTGGAAACCTGTCCAACAAAAGTACAACCTGAAGGCTAGAACGCCCGACGGATGCGGGTTTCTATTGATAGTCTAGGTTGGGACCAGTAGTGGGAGAAGCTCTTTATTATTATTGAAATCTGGACCAGCCATGTGCTGTTCGTTTCGTCGATCTCGGGATGTATAACAACCAAAGTAGAGAGTGATGGAGCGTTGATGGAGCGTGGGTTCAAGTAAAGACTGGCTAGACCATTCAGACACTGATTGTCTAGATTCCAGACCACGTAACAAAGTCTAGAAAGGCTAGGCTATAAGTGCACGGCGTACGGAGTACAGTACACTAGTTACAGTATCCTCTAAGTTAGTTGGGGCTTCCCTGAACTTGATACACCTTGCCCATGGAGGGGAAACTAAATTACCTTGGGTGACGCATAGAAGATGGTGTATTATTTTTGTAACTATATCGTGATGGTCGTGATAGCGGTAACCTGAGTACAAGTAGTATTTACTGTACTATACTTAGTTTGCGGAGTCTAGCCCGCTCTCTGGCCCGACATGTCCGGAACACAATGACATTGACCGTGTAGCATGATTCATGAATGGTCAGTATCAGACAATTGGTGAGGCGAGTCGAAGCTGTGTACCGGTAAAGTGCTGCCCTCGTTGTTGGCTACAGTACGGAGTAGTATATTGATAGATGAACAACACAATTGACTGTAAAGGAAAGGGGCAGCAAGAGGTGCGAACGGGGGGCCGGCGAGATTTCATAAGTTTTACATGATCTGCCCCCAAGACCACCCTTCTTACCTTGCCTGCTGTGGCACAAAACCACACACTCACCCCTTTTTCTCCCGCCCCTCCCCCGTATCGGAGGGAGTCGGGCATGTGCGCGCCGGCGGAGACATGCCCTCACAAAGGGAATCGCGTAGCCTGCCTGCCCTGTCAAGACTAACTAGTATCACTTATGTAACGGCACAAGCAACAGGCATCGGGCTGGGGATCTCAAATGCTACGACCATGGATCTCGGAGCCGGATCGGAATTGTTCCATCATGTTCGGTAAAAGTACATCAACGATAGTATGTGTAGCGCAGGGGTTTTCAATCATGTCGAGCATAAAAGTAATAGTTTAGTTGGTGGATGCATAAAATCTAATTATGCGGGTCAGCAAGTCCGGGGAAGTAAGGTTATGTAAGGAACCATTTACTTGGGTACTCGTAGCTAGGTAGGTTCTTTCTGTTGCAGGCGATGTCCTTCTTTTCTTTTGATTCTGGAGGGGGCTGTTCGCTCAGATAGAATTTGGAATCAAATTAATTATTTTTTTCCCTGCAGGGTTGATGCTGGTTCATGGATTGTACGATGTACCGGTAGTAGCAGCCTGAAGAAGGTGGCTTTCATGGGCTGTACTCGTCATTGTGGTAGCAGCAGCAGCAGCACCACCACCACCACCACCACCACCACCAACATGCATCCGCCCTATTGACGTCGAATTCAACATGTGGTACTACAGATCCGAGACAGTCCGTCAGTGTATGGTACTTCCCGATCAGGAGGTATATTTTGCTGGGGTCAATGGTCAATGATACTAATCATTAGGACACTTGAGCCTGTGTCTATCATAATCAAACTCAATGAAAATTTATCGTCGAAGCCTCAACTTTTCATCTTATCTGGGTCTGCTCAGAGCACATGCGTACATACCGAGAATTGGTTATCGTCATTGCTGGGGGGGGGGGTCCACATCGATCATCGCCAGTCCACCCCCGGGCCATTCCCGGAGTGCAGCAGAGTTCACCGATGCGAGATGCAACTAAGCAAGATCAGGTAGGTCCAAGGAACCTGAGTGCTGAGGTATGAAGTTGTCAGCGAGTAACTCATAAGTTACTCCTCAGTACCATGCTACCTCCCACCTCCTCCTTTTTCTTTTGTCTTACTTCTGCCCTATGTGAAACCACCAATATATTCTTCATATTGTTGGACAGTTGCGGCCGAGGATGGCTAGTAGCAGCGGGACCTCGGCAGCTAATCTCCATTCCCTGTCCAGGGGAACATTTCGGCATCTGTTCCCCTATTCAGGATCCATTAACTGGTCTCAGGTCCAATAATTCCCGGAACCATGGCTGCATTGTACTGATTCGACCAAACACTGTCTCCAATGATCTCCGGGAGGCTGAGATGATACGATGACACTCACTCAACCTTCAACTGGCGGAAGACAGGATGAAGCTTCGATAACTATGGCTATTTTCATACTAGACCCTCCGCACTGACTCTCAAAAGGTGCCTCCCTCACAGCACTTGGAAACATGGCTAAAGAAAGATCGGATTTCGTCAGCAGAGCATACCTACGCGCGGGTGTCCCTACCTAGTAGTTTCAACATCAACCATTCAACCCCGACCGAGGGGTTTGAGGGAAGAGGTGGCAGAGTCTTGCAAGACGTAATGATCGTGGTTCCCATGGTTGTCTCGAACAGTAGTTCTCACTCCATCTGGCCGCGGACCATTAAGGAGCAGAGATTAGCCAGTGAGCCAAGCACTATGTGTGCGACAGGCTCCACAGGGTCCGGCGATTGATATGCTCCCGTCCCTGTGTATCTGGCCCCTCACAGATGGACGGTCGGGAATTTGAGGAGGGGGAAGGGTCAAAGTGCGTTTGGCAGAATGGTGTCCTATTGAGTCTTTGACCGCGAGTCTGTTCCTACCTTGTGTTTCCGTTTGACAAGCAAATCCATCCGCATGCACTTTGTAGGGCATGGAATCCAACTTA